ATCACTTGAGCCCAGGAGTTTGAGGTTGCTGTGAGCTAGGCTGATGCCACGGCACTCACTTGGGCAACAGAGTGAGACTCTGTCTCAAAAAAAAAAGAGATACCAAATATTTTAGGCTTTATGAGTCATACAGTTTCTGTCAGAACTACTCAACTCTACATTGTAGTGCAAATAGCCATAAATGATTTATAAGTGAACTAGTGTGATTATGTTCCAATAAAAATTTATTTACAAAACAGTCAACAGATACAATTTGGGCAGTAGTTTTGCCAACTTCTAGTTTAAGGCGTTAGTGGTTCATATCATCACCAAATAATATTTGAGTGGAAAACTAGAGTTTACACACTAATTTATTAGTTGGCAGAATCAGTTACACCAGCTTAAGACTAAAAAGCTGTTTGAAAAATCTAGACTCTAAAGTTCAAGGATGCTTCTTAGAAATTCAACATGGACTGAATTCTACTTAGTAGCCACAGACTAGTCAATGCCACTGGTCCACTTTCGACTTACCTAACAGGCTATGCCGAGGGGCCAAGTATCGATGTGCTGAAGTCTGAAGCAAAGGAGCCAGGCTATGAAAGAGGTAAAATGCTCCTGTCTGCTGGGCTTTTTTACATGCATCATCATCTTCCTTCAGTTCAAATAAATACCTGTATTTGGGAAATAATCAAACCTTTACAAAACCACACTTGGGTACTCATACAGCATTCATTTTTGAGAATTCTGTTCCTGCATCCCTATCCTACCACAGTTACTTCCCTTTAGTTATCTACATCCTAATTTGCTCCAAAAAGTATCTGAGGTGGCTACAGGAAACCATTCATTCCCTCTTTTGTCCTACTGCGTACACTGCTCATACTTCTGTGGTTGCACTATTGTATTATTTGTTCATTTGTCTGTCTCCCCTGAAAGACCATGATTTCCCTAAGGACAGGGTCTGCCTTCCTCAGCTCTGTATCTCAGTAATTAGCATATTGAATGGTTCCATTCAATAAATATTTACTGGATTGAACTTCAAGGGTAATAAATATTTACTGAATTGAACTTCCAGGTACTCTGCCAATATTATACTGTGAGGCAAGAATGTACATGCAGTGAAGTGAAAGGAAAACAAGTGCAGTGATAAAACATCAACCACAGAATACCTAGAGATGGGAACAGACTTTATTACCGCAAACAAAGAGCAAACACCGTATCTTCAGTAACGCTCATTCAATCCAGGGCAGGGAAAGAACACATTTTACCTTCAATGTACCCTTGTTTCAAACATCTATCTCCCAAAGTGGCCACTGTCAGCTCCTCATCTCTAGGGAAGGGACCATAGATGAAGCCTATACTTAAACTATTTAACAAGGATAACATTTTCAGTAGCCAAAGTGAAATATGGAAAAAGAGAACATCCTATTACTGGTTTCTCAAAGAGATAGCAATGGGGCAAGTTCTAGGCTTTTTCAGTACCTTCATTAAGGGTGGTCTGAGTCTAACCCTTTAAGAGCTTTGGGAATCAAGTCAGGGTCCTAGTGATTCTGCAGAGACAGAATGTGGATTCTCCTGGGGCCTTAGGGTTTAACCATTTTTCCTTGTCAAAGGCCCTAAAACAGACTCTCAAATATACAGCATATTTTGTCACTTAAGTGGGGAAAAACAGCTTGCAGATTCTTTCTGTAGGATCTGGGAACTTTTGTAACACCAGTAAGCAAAGTTGGCTCAACATGAAATACAAAGCAAAGTGACAAATGCACCCCAGTGTAATCTGTAGGAACCTATTTTGATGGTGTGATAAAAGGGGTTACAGTGAGCTCTTTATAAATAGAAGACAAGAGAAACCTGATCTTTTAAGACTCATGATATTTTTAAACTTATTGTGAGTGACTGCAGCCTCCTGGGGCAAAGACTCAATGTATGTCAAAGCAGAGACATGTGTCTCTCAGAAGTTACCAAATATAAACAACAGAACAAACACAGCTGCCTTTGTAAAAGAACAGTAGGAGTGGTACAACCTGTGCTTTGCCCTAATGACCCTGAAAAGCAAAACATCTACAAAAACACCCAGGTTAAGGTCTTAAACCCAAGGCCTCACTGGAACTGGAATTGACATCCAACAGTTCCTTACACATCTCTTCATCAGGTACTCTATTTTTAAAAAATTCATTTTCTCCCTTTAGTTATAATAGCATGGAAAATGCTACATTAAGATTAACAAGGCTGAAAACATTTAGATTATTTTTAAACTTTAACTGTTTTTTCTTAGTATAACAGTAAAAAATAGTCA